TTTCAGTAATAGGACATGTTGCAAAACAGAATGGACATTTTGCAAACCACTGGAAATTTTGCAAAACAAAATGAACGTTTTGCATACCACATTGGACATCATGTGAAACACTTTGGACCTCGTACAAAACACCTTAGACGTTGTGCAATACACATTGGATGTTTTGCCAAACAAACTAAACTTTTTGCAAACCACTTTGGACACATTGGATTTTAAGCAGAATATCAGCGGTTAACTTGAGGAGTACGGCGACTAGACGATGTGCTGATTACATCATAGTCATGCTAATACAACCGAATTGTGTAACCAGCGGGTGTCACTGCAAACTCTTCTCTTAATCGTGAACCTCGATCGCATCGAGCAAAGGCGGTAACTGAGTATCCCCTTATCTCCCAATCTGTCTTCTCTTGGTTTATGTGCTTCTTACTTTACACACGGATCTGTGTGGCTATGTAACTATCGGAAAGTCCGACTTCTACATCGCGTAGTTTACCATGACTTAAACAAATGGTACCTAGCATTGGAGGGTGGTTGTGAAGCACTCGTTTTGAGAATGGGTTACGATGCGCCATCTCAATGTGGACCGCGATTCCCACTGAATTAAACCTTGGCCAATTCAATCACTTGGATCGTAATTGATGAAGCGAATAGGCGGCGATGCAGTTATCCCCTGTCACTCTGCGGGCCTTCGCGTATTCTGTGTGAACCAACCTATTCAGCTGCTCGATTATTCGACCAGTGCAGGCTATCATGACTCCACCAAACACAGCATAGCTTTATTGGCCTACTGCTGCAAGTTGTTATCAAAGAAAGGGAACTAAAACGACTGGAGGATGTACAGACCACATTGTACTCGCACGAATGCAACGGGACTGTGCAAGCAGTGGGCCATTTTGCAATCCTTCCTCTCAATCATTGGCGTTGTTCGACTCGAGCAAAGCAGCCGACCCAGTTGTCCCGTGTCTCTCTATGGGCTTTCACGTATTTCCTGTGGGTGTGTGGACGAACCTATGCAGTGCAATCACTGGAACACCGTTGGCTATTATAAATCAACCTAAACCAGTCTAGCTTCATTGGTTTACACCTGTAAAATTTTATCAATTCAAGGGGACTGTACTGTACTCCGACTGCATTGCGCTTACGCGAATGTAATGTAACTGCATAAGCAGTCGGTGTTTGTGCAATCCCTCCACTTGATTATGGACGTCAATGGTCTCGATCGAAACCGGTGACCCAGTTGTCTTCTGTCGCTCTATTGGCCTTGGCGCATCTTTTGTGGGTGTTTGGGAGAACCCATTCAGCTGCGCGAATATTGTAACAGTGTAGACTACAATGAATCCACCAAGACCAGCCTAGTTTTGCTACGCTAGAGTTGTAGTTTGTTATCAATGCAGAGAAGTAAGGCGACTGGGCGATGTTCCCGCCACATGTTGGTCATGCGAATGAAACGGGACTGTGCAGGCAGCGGGCAGTGGTGCAAGCCTTCCTCTAGAGCATGAGCTTCAGTTGTTTCTATTCGAACCGGTGACGCAGTTGTCTACTGTCGCACTATGCGCTTGCGCGTATCTGGGATCAGTGCAGACTATCATGACTCCTTCAAACACATCATAGCTTTATTATCCTTTTGCTGCAAGAAACTACCAAAATGAGCAAAGAGTGATTAGAGGCCGCATCTTCGATGCCTAAGCGGTACAAGCGATAGTCTTTGTCACGGAAAAGATGCTGACCAAGCTTAAGTTCGTCGACGGCTAAACCACGCACGAAGCTGCTAAAGTCGCGTTTCAAGGAGTGCGCGGCAAAGAACATCTTAATCGCTTACAGGAAAGAATGTACGAATAATCGGCGAAATAACAGGGAGAAGCTTAATCCCGTTATCATACAGCGCGTGGATGAGACAGATGAATAGCATTGCGAGGGTAACTTGGTGTACATGCTGCAGCGGCGTGATATATCGGTGCTGATATGTTTCACTCGGTCTTCCTGCACCAAATGCACGACGACGAAAACGCTTATTGCTCAAGAGGTGCTCCCAGCAGACCTGAACTAAGGTGCGAAGGCATCGGTGTTCGAAGGTAAATCGCCTCATTAGGTCTGTCGACTTGGTGGGGCAGGCTCTAAAACTTCCCAGCGGAGGGCTGCATGGTAAATTTTGTCCTTTAGGGCGAGGATGGTGCCGTGCTGGCCCCACAGGTGATGGAGATTGGCAAAAGCGCCTCGAGCTTTGCCATGCGGTATGTGATCTCATCTTCCATTCCGCTAGCGTTGATATAGCTGCCTATACTTTAATTTCTGGACGACTTCCAGCTGATCACCACCAAGGGTCAGCACAGAGGTGGGTCTCTGTCAATCTTGCGAGACTTTGCACTTCAAGGATGCAAAGCATAGTCCGAAACGACTGAGATCAAATGCTAAGTTGTCCAGTGCAATTTGGCACATTTGAAAGCTGTCACAGGTAAGGTCAATGTCGTTAGCATACTCTAAGTCAAGAAGTCGTTCACCTGGGAGCAGTTCCACACCTTGTAGGTGGTGTCCAGTGAACTCCGTTTCCATGACTTCGTCAATAGCGAAGTTGAAGAGAAAAGGTGACAGCCGGAACCGCTGGAGATAATGAATGGCGGCGACAGCTTGCCATAAGCCCTCACACTGCCCGAACTATGCGCGTAAAGCGACCTGGTAATGTTCACTTATTTTCGGGTACGCTTGTCCTAAGTAGACAGTCAAAGCGCAAATTGATCAACAAAATTGAACGCCGCTTTGATGTCGAGAAAAACGATCACGGTGACGCACCGATAAATATGGCGGTGCTGCAACAATATATGATCAAAACAGCCCCGATTTCGACGAAACCAGGCTTGCTCCTGGCGAATCTGAGTTTCGCAGACGCGACATTACTCTTGCCCTGAAGGGCAGAGTTTATAACGCGACCCTCTGTTCAACCCTCCTGTACAGTTGTGAAACATGGCCCGTCAGGTCGACAGACATAAATTGCGTGCTCACATTCGATCATCGCTGCCTTCGCAGCTTAGCTTATGTCTGGTGGGAGCACCGCGTGAGCAGTGAGCGTGTTCGGCGTCGCGTATTTGGTGCAGGAAGAGCCAGTGAACCGCTCAGCACGATTATATCACGCACCAGGCTCCGATGGCTGGGTCACGTGTTGCGCATGCCAGCACACCGACTCCCACGACGTGTATTGTTTGTGCGCCGGGGGTGCGGTTGGAAGAGGAAGGGGAGGAGGCCAAGTGATGACTTCGTCGAGAGCAATGAAAACCGTTACTTCGAAGTTGGCGTCGGTTGGTGCATCCAGACTGCCTGGCTGGAGTCC